GGAAATGTAAAAAAAAAAAAAAAAAAAAAAAAAAGAAAGAAAGCAAGAAAAAAAAAAAAGAAAAGAAAAGAAAAAAGAAAAGCATTTCAGAGGATCAGGCCTGGTGATGCACACCTATAGAAAGACCGCCACAAATTCAAGGCCAGCCTGGACTAGATAGTGAGTTCAAAACCAGCCTGAACTACATGGTTAGATTCTATCTTAACAAATAAATAAGTAAATAAATATTTAAAAAATATTTTTTAAAGAAAGGCAAGGGCTCCAGAACAGATTTTCTGGGCAAAGCAAACCCAAACATATTCACCTCCCAGGTCAACTTCAGAGGAGCTACTTCTGTGAGTTGCCCTCCTCACTCTTCACCTTTTTAGGATAGAAACTTTTCTGACAAATACCATTGGCTTCAAGGAAATGCAGGAATTGGTGTGTGGGGTGTGGGGGAAGGCAATCCAGCTCTGGGGAGGCCCTGAAAGAGCTGAAAAACTGCCAGAGTGACCTTAAGAGATGAAGCTTGGGTAAACCAGGGCACTGCAGTTGACCACATGGGTAGAGAAAAGCTACCTCTTTCTTTAGGCTTTTGGGAAGCTGTTACACATTTTTTGTGCAATTGATAAATAAGAAAAGACTTGTATACTCCAAATAATCTGAAAACAGATAAGCGTGAGTTATTTGGTGGACAACTCTTTCTGTCAGAGGATCATATAATGAATTGTCCATAAAGACTGCGAATCCCCACAAGATGATCAAGTTAGCAAGCATCTCTCATTGAAAGGACAATCTACATGTAATAGCCCCAGAAGGGTCAGTGATTTCTTCTCTGTGTTTCTTACAGGAAGAGTTTGGGTGAAGTTGGAAGAGGCTGATATTTATTAACAGATATTTATTTAAGTATAAAGCCTATTTGATTAGCCTCATTTTTCAAGTAAGAAATAGAATCAGAAAGTTCATTTAATTTACCAAAGATTACTCAGATTATCTGGAGAGTTAGCCATAGAATGGCAGAAATGTGATTCTGAAATCTATGTCCGTCTCCTAGTGTCAGAATTATGTACATGCTCCTGCTCATACAAAGCAATTATGATTTAAATTGCTCATCAGGGCTGGGAGTGGTGGCACAGGCCTCTAATTCTAGCACTTGAGAGGCTGAGGCAGGAGGATCACTGCATGTTGGAGACCAGCCTGAACTTCAATAGCTAGACCCTGTTTCAAAAAGACA